CAGTTGTGGGGGGTGAGTGTGCCGGAGTGTGTGTGAGTGCTCATGCTCCCCCAGCCGGAGCTCTTGTGTATTGGGTTGGGGTCTGTGTTCATGTGCACGATTCACCACAGTCACGAGGACCCTCAAGAGCCGGGTGTTGGTGAGGGATTGGGTGTTGGGGTTGGCGCAGGAGGAGGCTGCTGGGTTGGTGTCTTGGGGTGTGACTGGGGGGCTGTTGCAAGTCTAAAGGGTTGTCGGGCTGGGCGTGTGTGTGGTGGCCGGGATCCTGTCTCCCCAGGAGCGTGACGCTGTAGGCCGAGCAGGTGCAGGGCTGTGGGGACTGAAGGCTTGCCTGCTCTGTGTTTCTGGGTTAGGTCACATGCGGTGGAGGGGCTGCTCTGACTTTGTGGGTGCTGCAGATGCCCACCGGACTGGGGCACTGCTCAGGAACTGTTAGACAGGCTGTGTTGGACTGTGGAGTGTGGGCTGTAGGATGAAGTTGGGATGCCTTGGGAGCTGTTGCACATCTGCAGGCTGCCGGGGGTGCCTTGTGAGCTTGGGGGCTATTGTGCAACCCTCTAGGGGGTGTTGTGTGGCTGCTGTGTGTCCTCAGGGTGTGCTGCGCCCTGTGTGGGCCTCCTGGCTGCTCAGCGGGGGCTCCATGGGAACCAGGCAAGTGGGCTGCCCCTCTTGGTTTCCATGGCAACAGCAGGGCGGGGCCAGGAAACACCAGCTCAGGAAGGAAGGCTGGCTGAGGGAGCCTGGGGGCTGAGCAGGCGCCAGACTCCGTCCGGTGGCCCGGCCGGCCCGCTCCTGTCCAGCCTGCTCCTGTCCAGTGTACCTCTGGCCACAACCCCCCCAGCCACACCACTTGGTGCCCCAGCTTGTGGCCGAGTGTCCTCGGTCCTGCAGTGCGTGCCCAGCTCCTGTTTGGTTCTGTGTGCCCCGACTGGACTACCCCTTCCCTCCTCACCCGAGCTCTGGGTGACACTTGCTGCCATGGGGCCCTGAATCCTCCCTGGGGTGGCTGCCAGCTCCTCTGGGAATCAGGGAGAGAGGCGGCCAGGGTGGGACTGGGAGCAGAGTACCCCCAGCACCCCACTCCCCAGCACCCCACTCCACCTCCCCCCTGGCCCTGCAGGGTGGGAGGCCTGAAGCTGCGTGGTTCTTAGCTGCTTGTCCTAGGTTTGGCAACCAAGCTGGCTGGGAGGGGCAGGACTGTGTTCTCGGGGATCATCCACCCTGGGTAACCCCACCCCTCTTGCTCAGGGGCAGGGTTGGTTCCTTTGTTCATTCATTCATCCATTCATTCACTCCTCACTGAGCCCCCAGTCTGTAGCAGGCCGTCCTAGGGGATGAGGATTTAGCCACGAACAGACCCTGCCCGTGGGCAGAGACAATCGTGGGCAGAGACAATCAGCAAATCCACAAGCCAGACAGAATATGGGGTGCCAAGTTATGGGGAACAGTGATGCCAGTGAAGGGGATGGGATGTCCTGAAGGTCACTGCCTGCCCTTCGATGAGCTGAAGCCTGAAGGAAGCATGTGGAGGAGACCTGTGGATTTGTGGGGAGGTACGTGGGGGCCAGCGTGTGGGACCTGGGGGTTCTCTCCTTTCCCCCAGAGGAGACGTGGGGCCTTGGGAGGGTTTGAGCAGAGAAGGGGTATGATCTCATTCAGCTTTCCAAGGCCTCTCTCCTGAGGGCCAGGGCCAGAGCCCAGTGTACCCAGGGAGCCTGGGCCTGCTGCCCGCCCGTGGGTCAAACCTGCACACTTCTCCCACAGCCCGGCCCCCTGACCCCCCCCCGCTGCTGCCCAGGGCCTCTGGGGAGGGGGAGGGTGGAGTGGCCGCCAGGCTGGCGGGCTGGCAGGCTGCAGGGCGGGCGTTTCTGGGAATTGTGTGTGGGGGAAGCGCATTGTTAGAGTAGGGCCTGAAGCAGGCAGCCGTGCTGGCCTCTGGGGGATGCCCTGCACCCCCACCTCACGCTGCCTCTTGGGGAGGGAGCTGGGCCTGGGCCAAGGCTATGGGCTGGGACTTTCCAAGAGACACTACCTTGGGCGGGCAGCCCTTCCCATTCTGCTGACTGGAAGACTGAGGCCAGAGAGCAGGCTGTCTGTGGTGGGCAGAGCCAGGAGCAGCTGGGCAGGGGCACTCTTGCTGGACCTAAGTCCCTGGTCAGAGAGGCTGGGGCCCAAGGGAGGCCTAGGTGGGATTGGCTGAGGTCAAGGCCCCTCAGAACCCCCACAGTGGGGAGGGTCTGGTGCACTGGGGTGCCCAGAACGGGCAGCAAGGGGTGGGTGCGGGCTCCAGGCTTTGAGGCTGTGGCTTGCCTAGGGCAGTGTCCCCCATGGCCATGGGAAATGGGGGGTCCGTGTGAGCTCAGTGGCCCCAGTCTTCCCACCATGGCCCTGCCCAGCCAGAAGGGAAGCTCAATGCCGGTCCGCTGGGGTCACGGCCTGGGCGGGAGGGGGTGGGGGACACAAATAGAAAAATAATGGCCTGGGCTTCCGATGGCTCACGTGGCTGAGATGGGAGGGGCTGCAGGACTGGTGGGAAGGAGCAGGACTCTGGGCCAAAGTGCAGCCGTCTGCAGCCCCTAGACTCCCCCTCGGGTGTGTCTGCCCCTTGGGCTCCCAGGACAGTGCTGTAGTCCCCAGATAAGGGTTCCTGGGGGCTGATCCGTGAGTCTCCATGAACCTCACTGGAGCTGTCTGTGGGGGATTAAGCAGGAGGGCTCCCTGGAGGAGGGGGCTCCGAGGCCATGGGAAGCAGGCTGACGTTCATGGACAGATAGACACATAGCAGTCCCCGGCCTGGCACCCCTTTCCTTCAGCTGCCCCTCTGCACATTTATACCACAGCCCCTGCCTCCTCCTCTCACCCACACCCGGCCCTGCCGGGGCCCAGCCTTCACCCCCCACCGCCAGTCCTTCGGGGGGCTTCATGGCATCAGCAGGGGGAAACCTGGCGAGGGGCCAACCCAGAAGCTGGTGAAACTGGTGAAGCTGGTGAAGCTGGTGAACCTGGGCTGTCGCCACCTCGCCCTCCACTGGCCACAGCAGCTGGCCCTGCTTTGTTTGTTTAAAGGTGACTGGAACTGTCTGAACGGAAGCTCCGAAGGGCATGGCTCTCTGGACCTCCACAGACTCTGGTGGGCGGTACATATCGGGAGTGAGGGAGTGAGCTGGGGCCATGATGGTAGCTGCTGGAGGTTGTGCCCCAGGTCAGGAAGCAGCTCACAGATGGGGAGCATATTAACTGGGTTTTGAAGAGTGAGCAGGAGTTTGCCTGGAGGTGCTGGAGCTGAAGGGTATGAGCAGAGACCAGAGGTGTGGACATGCCAGGAGTGGAGGGCTGGGGCCAGGAGGGCCAGTCTTGTGAGTCGTCTGGGGAGCTCCAGTGAGGAGGGGCTTGGGGCAGGATGTGAACTTTGGGGTGGGGCCGGGAGTCTGGGCATGGGTGCTCCTCCCGCTGGAGCCTACCACAGACCCTCAAGGCCCCACTGTGTGGACTGGTGTCGCTGGCTCACGCCTGCCATCTAGAGGCTGCTGCTCAACAC